GGGAGCAGGGCCTTCACCTGCTCTGCCCCTCATCTCTGGAACTCTTTACCCCCTGACTTAAGAAACACCACCTCTCTTTCTATATTCAATACTGCTCTGAAAACACATCTCTTTAGACTCGCTTATCCTTAACTTTGCTCTATGTATTTTATACTCTATGTATTTTATATTCTTTATGTATTTTATATTCTTTATGTAATTTATTCCTGTTCATCTTTGTTCTTACTGTAGTGTCCTTGGGTGTCATGAAAGGCGCTTTTTAAATAAAATTATTATTATTATTATTAAAGATTAATTTTCCGGTTTAACTACCATAAGGAAACAGAAAATGAATCAACTTCCTGACTGTTTGGAGCTTGTTGCGAACCGGTATTACACCATATTCTGTGACCATCATATATTGTGACCATAGGGTGCGGTATTGCAAGCACTGTTGCAGGTCACAGAATATGGTGTAACACCGGTTCCAATTGACCGAACCAGAACCAGCTTCCTCTGACCTTGTTTTACAAACAAAAATTAAAAAAATCTGAATCTCAAAACCTATGAAAAAACCTATAAAAATAGTAATCTCTAAAACTAAACCTAATACCATACCATACCATTTTATTTATAGAGCACTTAAAACAGCGACAAGGCCAACCAAAGTGCTGTACAGACAGAACAACAGGTAACACAAAGCAAAATACAAAATAAAGTAAATCAGAAATATAGACATACAAACAATGCAGATAATGACGACTAGCCAGTGTGGAGCATACAGGTTCAAAACAGATCATTTGGTATTGAAAGCTACGGAATAGTAGTGGGTTTTTAAACGGGACTTGAAAACCGAGAGGGAGGGGGCCAGTCTGACAAACAGGTAACTCGTTCCAAAGTCTTGGTCCTGCTATAGAGAAGGCCCTGTCCCCTCTGTGCTTAAGACGTGTTCCTGGAACTGTGAGGAGCAACTGGTCCGCTGACCTCAGGGAACGTGGTGGGACATAAGGTTGTAGCAGATCAGAGAGATTGGGGGGGCTGTTCATTGATTTGTAGACATACAGGAGTATTTTGAACTGGATTCGAAAGTGAACCGGTAACCAGTGCAGTGAGGCCAAAACTGGTGTAATGTGTTCTCTATCGAGCTGCTGCATTCTGGACAAGTTGTAGTCGTGCAATGGAGGTCTGACTGATACCAAACAGGAGCGAATTGCAGTAATCAAGCCTAGATGTAATGAATGCATGTATTACTGTCTCCAGGTTATTTTTGGACAATATGGGCTTCAGTTTAAACAGCCGCCTCAGTTGGAAGAAACATGATTTAACAATCATGTTTACATGATTAAGTTTCAGGGAAGGGTCCATTATCACTCCCAGATTAGTGACTCTTTGTTTTTCTGACAGGGTTAGAGCGGAGAGGTAGATACAGTGGTTTGTGATCGTGTCGTGGGGAGGGAACAACATGACTTCAGACTTCTTTTCATTGAAACTTAAGAAGTTTAAAGCCATCCAGTCCCTGATGTCAGCCAGGCAGTCGAGCAGAGGTTGAATAGAGCATGTACCATTGTGTCTTAGGGGGAAGTAAATTTGACAGTCATCGGCGTAGAAGTGGAAGGGTATGTTGTGTTTCCGGAAAATAGCACCAAGCGGCAGCACGTATAAAGAGAATAGGAGGGGACCCAAGATGGTCCCCTGTGGAACCCCCCCATTTAAGCTCTGTCGCTGCAGAACTAAAATCCTTGATGGAGACACAAAAGGATCTGTCTGCGAGGTAACATCTGAACCAATTGAGAGCTGACCCTGTGATGCCCACCCACCGCGCAACACTGCGGGCGGTGGTGTGGGGTGGTCGACCGCCCCACTGTTTTTAGTTTTGTTTTTTACGTGCCACACATTTCTTTCAGTTTTGCAGCTTAATAATAATAACTAATAGTTTTGTTTTGCCTGTGATTTATTTGCAGTATGATAAATGGTAGAAGCATAATATACGCTCCCAATGTTTTGTTGGTCTTTTTTTGTTGTAAATAATTACCTTTTTTTGTGGTTTTATTTATTTATTTATTTTTGCATCTTGAGATCCTATGACGTCAACTACTCGCGTTCTACTTGAGTTTTATTATGTTAATGTCGAGTTTAAAAATTATGTAGTCGTTCAACCCCTAGTCAATAGGGAAACGTGCAGTTTTTGAGTTCTATTTCGTGTAAGCTACACCCTTTAAAAGCTGCTGCTTGACTTCCGGGTCGGACCACCATCACGATGGCCGCATAGCGAGCGCGCTCCTGGATGAACCACAATAATTAAGAGAAATTTCCCCATATAAACTGAAGTAACTCTATAAAAATAAAGCGTTAAAAAGGGGATAAGAGATGCATCACCACTTTGAACAACAAACGTCGACTGAGGTCAGATGGGTGAGAAAGACGGGACGTAGCAACAGTTAGCGGCTAAAGGGCCCAAGCTAACAAACAACGAGTCACAGCATCCAAAAATGACAGACTCCGAGATGATTCTGTGAGAACTAAGAGGGTTTTGCCAAGAAAACAAAGAACAACTTGAGACAAGAAAAGAAGAAATCGTGAAGACGGAATGGACGAAGTGGAAGGACGTATTGAGAAGGCAGAAGAAAGGATCCAAAACACGGAAGAAGTTATGACGGCTATGCTAAAGCTACACAATAAGATGGAGGACAAACTGTTGGATCTGGAGAGTTGATCCTGATGCAAAAACATAAGGATGTACGGAGTACTGGAGGGGTCAGAGAAGGAAACAATGATGATTACATTAGTGGAAAATTTACTCCGTGAAGGTCTTGAGTTAAATGATGACGAGCTTGATCTTCAAATTGAAAGAGCTCACCGATCAGTGGGGCTGAAGCTGCCAGTGAATGCATCACCATGCTCCATCATAATTAAGTTCTTAATCTCCAGAACCAAAGAGACAATACTCCGCAAAGCATGGTAGGGGAAGGATTTACCTGCAAGAAAACCACATAAACCTGGATCACGACTATCCACCTCTCATACTCAAAAAACGAAGGGAATATACAGAAATCCGCAAAGTATTAAAGGAAAATAATATCCAATTCCAGACCATCTTCTCCACCAGGCTGCGCGTCAGACATGAAAATGGAATCAAAACTTACAATACCGTGGAGGAGGCATCAGAGGACCTGCTGAGAATAGGCTTCACCGTGATAACCATGAAACCTCCAGAGACGCTCATGGAGCAGGCACAACGGCTGTCCTGGACGAGGTTGGACAGATGAGTGACGAAGAGCGCCTTCAAAGCCGGTCGGGAGCCAGTTTGCAAGGAGAAGCTTCGAGCCTTCGGGAGACCATCATTGACTCCCTCGTGGTCCTAGAGAGGATTTAACCCACAGCCTGAAGACGGCGGAAATAATGGTGAAATATCTTGATTGTAATTTGTGGTGGAGATCCACTATTGAATAAACTGGTTCGTTCGGGAACAATTTAAAAAAAATTTTCCTTCGTGGTTGGAATATTTTTTATTTATTTATTTTTAATTTTTTTTATTTTTACAATTTTTTTTTTTTAACAATTTTTTTTCTTGCTTTTTATTTTTCTTTCTTTCTACTTTTTCAGCATGTGGCTGGCGCAGGCAAGGGCCTCTCCCTCCGGCCCGAGGAGGGGGACTTTCTTCTTCGAGCCCCTTTGGGTGACTCAACAGGATGAAATTGTTAGACCCCTACATAGGAAGTCACACGGACAGCTTGTGTTCAGTTTGACGTTTATGTTAGTTGTTCATTCCCTGCTGGTTCTCACAGGGAGGGGGACATGCAACAGGTTTTTGAGTGAGATGGAGGGGGAATCACATAGATGCAAAACAGATCTTTAGAGAGTCAGAGTCAGAGTTTCTTTATTGTCATTCGCACCTCATGTGGTACATGTGGTGGAGTGAAATTATGTACACAAGGTCCCAGTTACATCCAACAATAAAATGTAAAAGAAAAACAGTAATAACATCTAAGATATGAACTAAGAAAAACATCAACTAAATATACACTAAGCACTCATAACATAAAAACATTGAACATCAGCACAAACATGAACATGAGTCTGTGAGCAGATGAGCACGCATGAACACATCAACATTGAAACAGATCAGCAGCATCATGAAACAGATCAGCAGCAACATGAAACAGATCAGCAGCAACATGAAACAGATCAGCAGCAACGTGATGTGATTTTTCACAGTGATTATTCTGGTTAGAGATTCATGAGTCTAACAGCCTCAGGGTAGAAGCTGTTCCTATAAGTAACAATTTAATATAAATTGAGTACTCAGTCCAGTTAAAAGGGGAAAATCTTATCAAAATTAAAGAAAGATAAAATCCAAGTAACTTTTGTGCAAGAGACACACCTCAACGACTCAGAACATGCTAAATTAAATAGAAAAGGATTTAACCATGTTTACTTTTCTTTCCATGGGTCCGGGAAATGGAGAGGAGTGGAGACCCTGATAGCTAAGGCTGTAAATTATGAACACATATCAGAATATAAGGAAAATGAAGGCAGATTTGCTATGATTACAGGTAAAATAGAGGGAATTGTTATAAGTCTCCTTAACGTGTGTATTCCTCCGGGAAGTGACTGGTCCTTTTATAAACATATAGTCGACCTAATGACAACAAAAAGTCAAGCGGTTTTAATATGCGGCGGAGATTTCAATGTTCGATTAAATCCCAAAATTGACTCATCAAATGAGAAACCCGACGCAAAAAACATTAGCAAAAGATTAAATGCTTGGATGGATGAAGTGGGGATTGTGGATGTGTGGAGAGAGCTGAGACTATTCACATTACTCACACGCTCACAATGTCTACTCGAGAATAGTAATTAATTACTATTCTTAATACTATTAATACTATTAATTAATTATTATTTTAATCTTTCTGAACTGAAGCATTTTGCCTCTCCTCTCCTGTGATGTTTTCTCGTGGGCTCGCTAAAAGCAGCTAATAAGTAATGGGATCATTATGCCGTGTTTGATTCTATTGTAGGAGTTTGCTGCACTGACCAAGGAGTTGAACATGTGCCGGGAGCAGCTTCTGGAGAAAGAGGAGGAGATTGCTGAGCTGAAGGCAGAAAGAAACAACACCCGAGTAAGAGCACACTGGAAGTATTCTGCAAAAACCTGTGTCTCTTTTTTTAAAAATAATACTACATGTGGTTCTCGTGACATTGATTGACAAACGCGTTTCTGTGTTTCTGTTTTGTGTCCAGCTGTTGCTGGAACATTTGGAGTGCCTGGTGTCCCGTCATGAGCGCAGCCTGAGGATGACTGTGGTGAAGAGGCAGGCTCAGTCTCCAGCAGGTGTCTCCAGTGAAGTGGAGGTCCTCAAAGCTCTAAAGTCACTTTTTGAACACCACAAAGCCCTTGATGAGAAGGTACAACAAAATAAATAAGAAATGCATGGTCAGTGTGACCCGCAGGTGATGCAAGGCAAAGCATATTGGACGAACTGAAGGTTTGTTTGTGCTTCATGTTTCCAGGTGAGGGAGCGTCTCCGTGTTGCTTTGGAGAGATGCAGCGTGTTGGAGGAACAGCTCACAATTTCACACAAAGAAGTGAGGAAACCTCAAGTTATTCAAACTTTACTCGTTTCCTCAGGATTTCTGTCAACACCTGCTGACTATATTAATGAAACGCTCTGCTTAATAATAATCATAATCATTGACTTAATAATAATAATAATAGTAATAATATTAGTAAGCATAATAATCGTTGTCATCATCCACTTCATAATAATAATAATAGTAATAGTAACAGTAATAATTGTTGTCATCGTCGTCGTCATCATTCACTTAATCACAATAATAATAATAATAATAATAATAATAATAATAATAATAATAATAATAATAATAATAATAA